GAAATGATATAATTGTCATTACTGAAACTCACTTAGATCAGAGTATTGACAATAGTAATCTTTCACTGGATGGTTATTATCAACCAGTTAGAAAAGACAGAAATAGATATGGTGGAGTTGTTGCATTGTACATTTCAACTAGATTAAATTTTAAAGTTAGAAATGATTTAAATTTTTCTGATATTTCTGACGCCACTACTTTCCTCGTGGAATAGATTTGTCAATGAGTTGAGAAACAAGTTTAATTTTATAGGAAAAATTACACGGACATATTTTAAGATCTAAAGCAAGATGGGTTGAGGAAGGAGAAAAGCCTACAAAATACTTTTGCAATCTTGAATCACGAAATTTCTTAAATAAAATTATTAAAAGGATTGAATTGAATGAAAACAATATTATGTATGATCAATCAGAAATTTTAAGCCAAGTCAAAAAGTTTTATCAAGATTTATATTCTAATAAAGATTATGAACTGATTCCGGTCGGAAATAGAGCGCCTCACTAGACACGTCCGCCCCCTTCGAACGCCATTTTGAATCCACAAACGCACATTTAGAAATTATAATAATAGAAATTATCAAGGCCTAAACAATGACCTACAAAATGTTAACTGGATGAAAAAGTGTTTAAATGTACCTCTAATAATATGAATGAAGTCTATCAAAATTTTACATGCACTTACCTAACCTTAGTAGATAAACATATACCAAAAAAGCAAATTACAATACGTCCATCAGATAAACCATATATTACCACAGAAATTCTTAGAAAAATGAGGCAAAGAAAAAGAATTCATAAAAAGGCTAAGCATACTAAAGATTCATTACACTGGCAAAAATTCAGACAAGTCCGTAACGAAGTAATAGACTTAGTACGGAAAAGTAGGAAGGAGTACAAAATTAAACTTGTTTCTCAACTCATTGACAAATCTATTCCACCAAGAAAGTGGTGGCGCATAGCAAAATCTGTTGCAAGGTTAAAGAAACAAAGCTCTCCCCATCCTCTATTAAATCACAAGATGGTAGAATATTGGTGCATCCAATGGATAAAGCAGAAGAATTTAATAATTTTTTCTCTAACATATCACATATTGAAAATGAGCCAGATTTGCCTGAACATGGCGCTGGACCTCCAGACTACTTCTATGATTTTGAAATAAATGATCAAGATAAGTATACTTGATCCCTCTAAAACATGTGGACCAGATGGAATTCCTCCCAGAATATTAAAGGAAACCCGTTATTCCATACCTAGTAGACTGGTACGATCAACCTAATGACTGGGTGGCTGAAGGTAACAAATCAATCTGTACAGGGTTAGTGAAAGAAACACAGTGGAATAATACAAGCATAAGGGTTACATCAAAACATTACCGCATGCAATTCCTCAATGCTTCTTTCCCTGGTCAATACTATTTGTGATTATGAAAGATCTGCTTGAGATGTTCGCAGTGAGATATCTGACAATGGTGTAGAGGATCCTGATCATGCTTATGATGAAACCATATTTAAAAAAACTGAAAAAAAATGAAGCTATGCAAAAGTGAAAGGACCAGATAGAAGATTTGTCGCCACCAGAAAATACTGATACATGTACTCGCCAAGTTACGTACAAGGATTTCAATGAATTATATAGTACTATTTTTGTTTCATCATTGACAACGTTAACTGAAACACAAATAACACTAATGTCAAGGGTTGAGAAAAACTTCTCTGATTCATTACAGAAAGTGACCAGAACTGTAAAAAAAAAAATTAGACACAAGTCAAAACAATGAAATCTCTGAAGGATAAGCAGACTAATGGAACAAACCCAGATAAACTTCAGTTTGGTATAGCATTTATTGAAAAGCAATTATATCAGGCACGCACAGATAAATACAACCTAACAGTAGAAATCGCGAGATTGGAATATAAGCAGAAAAAGCAAGAAACAACACCATGGATGAGACATTGAGAAGATAACTCAAGAATTTGAAACAGGAAAATGAACACCTGTCAGAAAAACTTAAATCAAAAAATAAAGAAAATGATCAGCTCATGGATGAAAATAAACAATTCAGAAAAAAAAACGATTACCACTTCAGTGAAATTTTGTCCCGAAACTCCATAAGAATCCTTAGACACAAAGATACATTGCGGGTTCCAGTAAATATTCAATCAAGCCTCTTTCTTTACTCCTCAGGTCTTCCAACAATCTATTGGAATTCCCATGGGAACCAACTGCGCTCCGTTATTAGCAGTCCTATTTTTGTATTCATATGAAGCAGAATTTATGCAAAATCTTATGCTGAAAAGAAGAAAACACTTGCTGTGGCCTTCAACTCGACCTTCAGATATATCGACGACGTATTATTTATCAATTAACAATGGTAATTTGCTTTCCTACGTCGATACGATATATCCAGGAGAGCTTGAGATAAAAGATACTAGATACTCTGACCCATCTGTTTCATACTTGGATATTTTACTTGAAAAAGACACTAATGGTAACCTAACAACCAAGCTATATGATAAACATACAATTTATCATTGAGTCAAATGCTGACTGACGTTTTTCATACCAATTGTTAGTCCATTATTTATACACTGAATTGACGACGGATTTTCCCGTTATTTCACGATCATGAAAATGAGCACACGGCGGGTATGGCCGGTCAGCAGGGGATGCTCACTCCTCCATGGCAATTGATCTCACCTCCGATGTTTCGGAGATCGGTGTTTGCTCTGCTCCTATTTTTTTTTTTTTTATGGACTTTGATATTGAATACTGTTCGTTATCTCCATATCCTTTACTAAGATATTGACAGTAGTAAAGAAAAAACTTCAAGAGTACTGTGCAACAATATTTTCAAGAAGTGGTGTGAATCAGATGTAGATACTCAAAAATTCCAAAGAACTTTTGGATAATTTGAAATCAAAAGATTTTACTTAAATCAACAGCTAAAACTCTTTCGACTTTTCAATATACACAACCATTCCACGCGATAAATTAAAGTCCAGGCTTTTTGATATTGACAGCTGCTTTTTCAATAAAAATGGAACTCAGAAATTTACTTACCTTGACATTGGTCATTCGCAAAATTATTTCGTTAAAACGCATTCTGATTGCACACACAAGTACTCTGAAGTTGACATAAAAAATGCTTGAGTTTTTTTATGGACAATATCTATGTGGCTTTTGGAGACCAGGTCTTGCAAAAATCTATTGGAATTCCCATGGGTACCAATTGTGCTCCATTATTAGCAGACTTAGTTTTGTATTCATATGAAGCATAATTTATGCGTGAAAAGAAGAAAACACTTGCTGTGGCCTTCAACTCGACATTTAGATACATCCACGACGAATTGTCAATTAACAATGGTAATTTCCATTCCTATGTCGATACGATATATCCTGGTGAGCTTGAGATAAAAGATACCACAGAGTCTAACACATCTGTTTCATACTTGGATATTTTACTTGAAAAAGACACTAATGGTAATCTAACAACCAAGCTCTATGATAAACATGATGACTTTAACTTTTCTATAGTCAACTTCCCTTTCATATGCAGCAATATACCTTCATCACCTGCATACGGAGTTTACATATCTCCTTTGATTCGATACGCAAGAGCATGCTCTACGTATGAACAATTTCTCAAACGAGGTAAATTATTAACAAAAAAGCTGATGAAACAAGATTATAAGCAGTCTCGTGTAAAGTCATCATTCGTAAGTTCTATGATACCATGACTTCGTCAGCAAATACAATTTATCATTGAGTCAAATGCTGGCTCACGTTTTTCAAACTAAGTGTTATTCCATTACTGTGAAATCACAAGTTTTCGAGGGGATTTACCTTTCGTTGTTTTCGAGTTATTAAGAGATCCACGAATCCATGTCTACCACGAAATGTAAAATTTTAAATACATAACTACTCAACAATTCTTCATCCACGAATTCAAATCCCCGCGAAGCAAGATTTTTTATTCAAACCACGAAAATCTGACCCCAAGAAAGTATGTGATTTTGCAGTATTTATACACTGAATTGAGGACGGATTTTTCTTTCATTTCTAGATCATGACAAGGGGTACACGGCAGGTGTGACCAGTCGGCAAAGGATGCTCACTTCTCCATGGCACCTGATCCACCTCTGATGTTTTGGAGGTCCATGTTTGCTCTGCTCCTATTTTATATTGTTTTATATGGACTTTGATATTGAATACTGCTCGTTATCTCCATATTCTTCATCCCTAACATCGCCGATCTCTGGCATGTTCATAAGCAGCGGGAAGGACATTGAAGCCAGCAGAGTGAAAGAAATGAAAGACTTGGAATTCAATACTGAGACAAATTCAAAACCAATGGCATTATTGATAGGTACTTCTAATGTGAATGACATTTAAGAGGATAAACTTACATCAGATATAAATGTTACCAAAGTAACATCATTTACTGTGGATGAAACAAAGAATGCTATTATTATTTCTTCGTGCAAACCTGATGTAGTAGTCCTTCACTCTCTAACAAATGATGTTAGGAATACTAGTCCTGGAAAAATGCGCCGAGTAAACTACAAGGGGTGGTTAAGGTTATTTAAAAGAAGTGGAAAGATGTCGACACCATCGTACACATGTATCCTACACGATCGAGGCCTTCCATGTCAATTTCAATAGTCCTCGCTCACTGACCTCAAACAAAAAGACAGCCGCACGATATTTACATGTATATTAGGCCTCCTTAGCTCCTGACCTATCGATTTGCCTTATATACATTCCGGTTGAATTATCAAGAAATCAAATCCACTAACTCTCAAGGAGTTGTCACAGAGAAAACAAATAGAAATGGAAAGAAAGACTGAGTGACTCGGGTGACATAAAATAATAGAAAGGAGACTGGATAAAAACAAAATTAAACATTGAACCCCTCTTGTAAAAAAAAAAGTCTGGATCCAGTCTTGGAATAACAATAAATGGATGTACTTACGTACTGTGTTAAGTTGAACTTAACTTACCTCTATATCGACCTGAGAAAACGGTATCAATAAAAGTGCAAGAAAAACTAAAGTTAGGAGCAGATGTGGTAATTTCCAAGTGATATAAAAATAGACTTAATACCGAATCTGGAATTCCATTCTATATTTATCGATGATTTGAGTAAAAAGCAGTTATTTATTTATTTTCGGTTTACAAAAGAACACGCTTTTCACCCCAATTAAAACATAAAACTCTACACTACGCTTAAATAGACGTTATAAAATCGATAATGCACATTATAACCCTTTCGATTTCTTTAAACCTGAATGCACATTTGAAACTTGTGTAATATTACTTTCGAGGTATTAGATGTGATGCTCTTAATTATTAGTTGTTCTTGATTTTTGTGCATTTTCTGTTTGTAAAATACATTGACTTACATGTTTTCACCTGACTGAAAAAAGTGCGTAAAATTTGATAATTTTATTGCAACGGTAAAGTAAGATGTACACGTCTGATATCTGGATAGCGACTATGAACGAGAAATATGGCTGACAATGTCTTTTAGGAGTAGTGTTCAGCTTCAACAAGAGAAAATATCTTTTTCTCTTAAACCCATGCAGTCTAGTAAAGATCAATTACGTTGGAAAAACCTGAATGAATGTGGAATATCTGACAAAACCTTTCTTGAATTAGAATATTGCTTTGAGAAATATTCAATACATTTTCAAATGGCCCAGGAAAAAAGCTTTGTGTAAAGTCTAAATTGCAAATTTCAAATTGAGATACTTAGTAGTTAGTTCTAATGTATTTGATGTAGAGCTGATTGATTTTTAATCTTTGTTCCTCTGGATTCCCTTACCTTTTAGAATATGATTTTTAAAAAAGAGAATGAAACCAAGAGTCTCTGTGTAGTTCTTCTGGTCTGTACGTATAACAAAGGAAAAGTAGCACTTGGGTTTGAAACTTTGCAACAGGCAACAATGAATAGAATTATGTATCCTATTGTAGTATACTTGTGTGCCACATTCTATTGAAATCAGACCAAAACTGGGAAGGATTAGCGTTTTAAAGGAATTTCACAGAAATTTTTAGTGACCATGGCAACATCCTTCATCAATCAAAATCAAATCCCATTGCACTAAATTATGTATCTAAGTTAGTCTACATGTTGCCAAGTTATATTTAATCAGACTAAAACTAAAGGAGTAGCATTTTGAAAAATTGTGCAGAGACGGACGGACGATGGACACCTTACTATCGTATAAGGTTTTCTTGTCTCTGACCAGTAGAGCTAAAAATGTCCCAAATATTTTTATACTCCCTGCTTGAAAAGAGAGAGGGTATATAGTGATCGGTATGTCCGTCTGTCTGTACGTCCGTCCGTTACGCTTTGGGGTACCCACCTCTTATCCGCAACTCCTCCTATACCACTGAATGAAAGAGACTTTCACAGAATGCAATTATTCCATAGTGCCATTTTGACCTTTTTAGCTCTACTGGTCAGAGACCAGAAGAGCTTATGCGATAGTAATGCGTCCGGCGTCCGTCCGTCTGTCTGTAAACATTTTTTTTCAAAATGCTAGTCCTCCTACAGTTTTGGTCTGATTTCAGTACAACTTGGCACACAAGTAGACTACACCAAGATACATAATGCTACGTACCGGTTTTTGATTTCAATGAACGGTGTTGCCGTGGTTACTAAAAATAGAAATTTCTGTGATATTGATTCAGAATGCTACTCCCCCTACAGTTTTGGTCTGATTTTAATATAAGTTGGCACACAGGTAGCTTACACTAAGATACATAATTCTGTATATCTGTTTCTGATTTCGATGAACGTTGTTGCCGTGGATACTAAAAATAAAATTTCTGTGAAATTTTTTCAGAATGCTTCTCCTCCTACAGTTCTTGTCTGATTTCAGTATAACTTGGCACACAAGTACATTACATTGAGATACATAAATCTGTGTATCGATTGAATGGTGTTGCCATGGTTACTAAAAATAGAAATTTCTGTGAAATTGAATCGAAATACTACTCCTCCTACAATTTTGGTCTGATTTCAATATAACTAGGCACAAAAGTAGACTAAGTACATAATTCTGACTTATCGATTTACCTTATTTACATTCCGGTAGAATTATCAAGGAATCAACTCCACTAACTTTCAAAGAGTTGTCACAGAGAAAACAAATAGAAATGGAAAGAAAGACTGAGTGACTCGGGTGAAATAAAATAATAGAAAGGAGGCTGGATAAAAACAAAGTTAAACATTGAACACCTCTTGTAAAAGAAAGTCTGGATCCAATCTTGGAATAACAATAAATGGATGTACTTACGTACTGTGTTAAGTTCAACTTAACTTACCTCTATATCGACCTGAGAAAACGGTATCAATAAAAGTGCAAGAAAAACTAAAGTTAGGAGCAGATGTGGAAATTTCCAAGTGATATAAAAATAGACTTATTACAGAATCTGGAATTCCATTCTATATTTATCGATGATTTGAGTAAAAAGCAGTAATTTATCTATTTTCGGTTTACAAAAGAACAAGACTTCACCCCAATTAAAACTTAAAGCTCTACACTACTCTTAACGTAGGTCGCGGGTTTACAGGGCTTTAAAAAGTGTTCGAAAACATACCATGAAAATTACCTATATGATTTCTCTACCTTTGATTTCCATTCTCTGAAAATTATATAAAATTCGTCTGCACCGTTTTTATGTAATTGAATTCCAAAGATGTCATTGTTTTAGTTACATTTTTAACGGTATTCTATTGAAATGCATAGGAAAAACGTCGTTTTTGGCGTTTTTAGGCAAGGTTTTGATTAGAAAAATATCACTAACTTTTAAATCGTGCAGACGAATTTGTTTATCCTTTGGTATTTTAAAATAGAATTGATTTGAAATAAATCTACGTGAAAAAATTAATATGTCTTCGGGTTCATTTTTTCGTCATTTAATTGTAGATAATTGCTTTTATATTGAAAAATATAGCATTTTTAAGAACAACGTCATAAAATATCGCGACGTCACACTTGACGTCGTGAATATAAATCCGGTATACAGAGCAAAAAAAAAAATAATAATAATAATACGAATTTAAAAAAAAGGAAATTCAAGTATACCTGCTTTCAAATGACCAGTATCATAATAATTCAATAAAATATAGACATTATTACCTTTAAGCTTATTACGTCTAATATTAGTGAAAATTCACATAAAAGGCGTAAACCAACAATCCAGTCCTTTAGATTCTTTTTTTTTTTTTATATTTTCTTTATGTGTTATTTCTTACTGTTTCTTTTTTTTAATCATGCGCGGATTCTCACCGGAATTTGCAAAATAAAAGTGACCTTGTATTCCCCTCTGGAAAAAGGCAGAGCTCTCCCCGTTGAAATCGTAGATCTGTGATCTAAGTTTGTTTGAAAAGTCGTAGGTATGAAGATAATTTAGAAGTCAAGGACTACTAACACCCCTAACCCCCAACCCCGAAATATGTTTTTTACGCTTTGTATTTATCCTTTTTCTTTAGAAAATTCAGCAAGGCTATCAAATCAACAATAACATCTTCTGAATCAATTTCCGCCAAATATCCTCCCGAGTATAAGTATTAATGCATTCAGTGTTTATATTGAAAATGTTTTTGTTTAAGTTTACAAAGAGGCAGCGAATAGCTAAAATAAATCTTAACATGATTTTATTTTATGCTTATACGTATAAGGATAGAAAAAAGCGTACTTAAAAGGAATTTTAGAGGGGTAAATGGGACGATAATTTAAACATTAATTTTATTCGGCGCAATCAAAAGGCAGATTTTTTTTTGTTCTTAGACTTTCAATGTATACATATGATATTAATTCTACTGAATCAACATGTATATGGAAAGCAACTCAACGAATAAAATATGTACATGTAACTAACAACAACGCGTGCCCTTACTTACACAGGCAATTGGAGTATCTAAACCCCCCCTTCTGTTTTTCTGGGGTTTCCTATTTAGGATTTTTAATACGTATTGCATGTTATTAATAATGTTACCCTTTTATATATCTCTTTATGCTGTTTTTATACATGTTTTTCGTTTTCGACTGATACATAAAAAGAGACGGCTTGCAATTTGTTTTTATTCTCGACGTCTGCCTCACTTAATCTTCACTTGCATGATCACTATCTAAAGCGAAGAGAATCATGAAATATGCAGACATCGATAAATTTGAAACACGCTCTTCTTCCTTTTCAGAATTCCATTTAATTTTTTATGTGCCTCCGATTAGTAAATATTTCGATTAAATCAACATGCACATATAGGGTGGAGTTAAAATTTAAAAAATGGGAAAAGTTTACTCACCCCCGGCGTATAAGGGGGTCATATCCTACGTGCCTGTGGTTATTTACAAGAGGTCAATGCCGCTCAAAAAATGTATATACTTTAGTTTATGTTTCATTAGTATTACCCTGGTAGTGCCTTAGCAGTTTTTAATTTGTGATCAACCTGTCATGTGCAACCTGTATACGGACAGAGATTAGCACGTACCGTTTCATAATTGAGTTCGACTTTCCATCTGTGAGCAGAGTTTTGACGCTGTTTACGGAGATAAATGACAACAAAGACATGCCATATATATGGTTGTGTAGATAAATTATCGTAGAAGACAATGGTAATAATCAGTTTGTTAGTGCATTTCCACTAAAAGTGTACACTAAAATGAGTGCTTTTCTGAGGAGGGTGTATAGTGTAATTCGGAGTTAGATAACCTGTTTTATAATTATACACATTTAATTAATACGAGGGTTGTCCCGTAAAATCGTGGACAAAGCGTTTTCCTCGAAAAGTAATGGGCGCACTAAGCTGAAAATTTCAGTAAATGTTTGTTTATCATATTTAAGTGCATGATAATTTTTTTGATAAATAATAGGCAAAAATAAAGATTTTATTATGCTTGAATGTGTACGGGGTATTGTCCTACGGCGCACGGACAAAAAACCTAGGTTTTATTAAAGAATACACAAGTTTTAATTCAAAATAAGTTTTAAATACATAAGATTTGAATTAATATTATCCTAATTCAATTCCACAATCAATTTTATAGTCTTTGT